TACGACTTTGATCGGTACTTCGCATTCACACAGATTGCTTTCTTCCATAAATAGAGCAGCCGCCTACAAGTAGCTCTAACGAAATTAGCAGTCATTGATGCAAGGCTTTGGAACGCACATTGCTTACTATGCATACTACCTCTGGAAAGGATAGCACGTGCACAATGCATATGTCCAACCTATTGTAAAGACCTGTAATCCTTTTAAATTCTTGAACGGTAAAGGGTTAAAAACTTGGTATAAATATTGCCATGTTCCTTCTCTTCAATCAACTAAATGTGACCACGATATATTTCGCTGTGTAATGTGTAACAGAGATTCATTCGTATCCCTTATATTCATGAGTCTACCGTCTCAATTGATATTAGACGCTAATGAGATGACTAGTATGTTTTGTATAGTTCCATATACTATAGAAAATTATTTAAATGCTGAAGTCAAGAGTGAAAGTAAAATTTTTTAAGCGTTTACAAACAATTGCGCAAAAGGGACGTAGACATACTCTCATTGGCATACTTTGTGCTGTACGGTTAAAAACATCTTGTTTCTACCACGAGTATGTAGAAGTAAGTCAGATGTGTGCAATTGAAGTATCCCACAATGGATGCTATTGTAGATAACCGTCTTAGCTTGATACCACTTCATAGTTCATGCTGCGACGTCATATTTCACGTGCATCTTGAATTGACAGAAGCCGGTTTGTCATAATTTTGCTCGCAAATCAAAGCTATAGGGTTATACACGATTCTTTTGAATTTCTCGCACTTTTGTCATATTTTGACAGAGCTTAAAAGCTTTTATCTAGTCTTAACCTGAACAAAACCTCTTTATGGTATTTAGAAGTTGTTGATTTTGTTTTACTCATGCTGAGAGGCGAAATTTCACGTCGACAAAAAACCACATTTAAGAAACATGTTGTCTTCATGAATCACCACCACCTTTAGAATTTACTTGAAAGCCAATTCTATTTAAAATACTGTAATTAATCAAAACACAATATTCGTCAATGCTTTGAATCTCCTTCAATTTTCTTCAGGCATTTGTCGATGCCACTGCACTAGACGTACAAATTTCGGGGAAAAAATGACATGACTTGCCATTAGAGTTGCAAGGCCTCTTCTTGAGGGAGCTGCTTAGACAATTCTTATCAGTTCTTTGTCAAGACACACCCTGATGTACATTGCGATCCCAAATTTGGATGCGCTTACAGATTTCACAGGTTTCTAGGTTCCAGAGATTTCTCAACATAAAAAGTTTCAAGTTCCCAGAATTTTGAGCATTCTAATGGTTTTTGGCGACCCAAAAATTTGGATACACCTGACATTTTGATTGTTTGTTGAG